TGGTGCTGAGAAAATTGAAAAGCCATGTGCAAAAGAATGAAACTAGACTGCTATCTGTTACCATAAACAAAATTAACTCAAAATGGATCAAAGACCTAAACATAAGACCTGAAACAATAAACTGCATAGAAGAAAACATAGGTACTAAACTTATGGACCTTGGGTTCAAAGAGGATTTTATGAATTTGACCTCAAAGGCAAGGGAAGTAAAAGCCAAAATAAAGGAATGGGACTATACAAACTAAAAAGCTTCTGCACCGCAAAAGAAACCATTGACAAAAACAAAGAGACAACCGAGTGGGAGAAGATATTTGCAAACAATGCATCCAATAAGGGGCTAATATCCAAAATATATAAGGAACTCATACAACTCAACAAAAAGACAAACAATCCAATTAAAAAATGGGCAGAGGACATGAACAGAAACTTCTCCCAAGACAACATCCAGGTATATAAAAAATGCTCAACATCACTAGCTATTAGGAAAATGCGTATGAAATGAGATACCACCTCATGCTTGTTAGAATGGCTATCATCAATAAGACAAATAATAACAAGTGTTGGAGAGGTTGTGGAGAAAAAGGAACCATCATACATTGTTGGTGGGAGTGTAGATTGGTGCAATTGCTATAGAAGGCAGTGTGCAGGTTCCTCAAAAAATTAAGAATAGAGTTACCACATGACCCAGCAATCCTTGTCCTGGGTTTCTACCCAAAAAATCTGAAAACATTTAGCCATAAAGATATATGTACTCCGATGCTCATTGCAGCTTTATTTACAGTGGCCAAGACATGAAAACAACCAAAGTGTCCTTCGATAGATGACTGGATAAAGAAGATATGGTATATATACACAATGGGATACTACTCTGCCATAAGAAAAGATGAAATACTGCCATTTGTGACAATGTGAATCAATCTAGAGAATATTATGCTAAGCAAAATAAGTCAGACAGAAAAAGTCAAGAACCATATGACTTTACTCATACGTGGGATATAAAACTGAAAACAACGGAGAAACAAGACAAACAAACAAATAAACAAACACTCATAGACACAGGCAACAGTTTAGTGGTTACCAGAGGGGAAGGGGGGAGGGGAATGGTAGAAGAGGGTAAAGAAGGTCAAATATATATATGGTAATGGAAGGAGAACTGACTCTAGGTGGTGAGCACACAATATGATATATAGATGATGTATTACAGAATTGTACACTTGAAACCTATGTAATGTTACAAACCATTGTCACCCCAATAAATTTAATTAAAAAAAGAAAAACAACAGAGAAAATCAACAAAACCAAACATTAACTTTTTGAAAAGAGCAATAAAATTGACAAATCTTTATCTAGACTGACCAAGAAAAAAGAGAAACGACTCAAATTACTAGAATTGGAAATAAATAGGGGACATTATGACCAACCTTACTGAAATAAAAAAGATTATGAAGGAATACTACGAACAACTGTAGACTAATAAATTAGAATATTCAGATGGAATAGACAAATACCTAGAAATACATAAACTACAAAAATTGACTTGACAAGAAATAGAAAATCTCAATAAACCTATAAGAAGTAAAGAGATTGAGTTACTAATCAAAATTACCCATTAGACAAAGTTCAGGCCCAAGTGGCTTCACAGGTGAATTCTACCAAATACTTAAAAAAGAGTTAATATCACCACTTCATAAGCATTTTAAAAAAAAGATAACATAGAAGAGAAGAGAAGACTAAAAGCCAATATCATACTGATACCAAAACCTGACAAAGACATCACAAGGATAGAAAACAGAAAACCAATAACTCTTATGAATATAAATACCAAAAATTTCAACAAAATACTAGCAAGTGGACCCATAAACCTATAAAAAGAACTACACACCACAACCAAGTGGTATTTATCCCAGGAATGAAAGGTTAGTTTATCACCTGAAAATCAATTAATGTAAAAATACCATCAATGAAATAAAAGGCAAAAATCACACGTTCATCTAAATAGATAGAGAAAGCATCTTACAAAATCAAAAACCCTTTAATGATAAAAACAAACACTCAAAAATTAGAATTAGGATAGGGTTTTCTCCATCAGAAAAAGGGCATCTATGAAAAACCACAGCTAACATCATACTTAATGGTTAAAGACTGGATGCTTTCTCTTAATATCAGGAACAAGACAAGGATTCCTGCTCTTAGCACTTATATTTAACGTTGTATTGGAGATTCTAACCAGGGCAATCAGGTAAGAAAATGAAATAAAAGGCATTTGAACTGGAAAGTAAGTAAAACTATTTTCATAGATGACAGGATTTGTATATAGAAAATCCTAAGGAATTTACTAGAGAACTATTAGAACTAATCAAAAAGTTCATCAAAGTTATAAAATACAAGATCAATATACAAAATACACTTGCAATGAACAATCCCAAAATAAAATTGGGAAAACAAATCTACTGACAATAGCATAGGAATAAAGTTAACAAAAGAGGTACAAAACTTACACTCCACAACCCACAAAACACTACTGAATGGAATTAAAGATCTAAATAATTGGAAATATATCCCATGTTCATGAATTGGAAGATTAATATTGGGTTGTCGGGAAAGTCATGACGCATTTTTGCAATGAAAAACACAGAAAAAAAATACATCATGACTTTTCCAACAACCCAATACTATTGTTAAGTTGGCAATACTCCTCAAACTGATTTACAGATTCAATGCAATTCCCATCAGAATTCCAGCTGGGTTCATTTTTGTGCAAATTGGGAAGCTGATCCTAAAATTCATATAGAAATTCAAGAACCCATAATACCCAAAACAATCTTGAAAAAGAGGAATAAAGTTGAAGAACTCACACTTCTCAATTTCAAAACCTACTACAAAGCAACAGTAATCAAAACAGCATGGCTCTGGCATAAAAATAGATATGTAGATCAGCACAATGAAATTCAAAGTCCAGAAATAAACCCACATATCTGTGGATAACTGATTTTTGACATGGGTGCTAAGATCAGTCAGCAGGGATACAATCATCTCTCCAACAGATGGTACTGGGACAACTGGATAGCTGCATGCAAAATAATGTAGTTGCACACCATATACAAAAATTAACTCAAAATGGATCCAAGACCTAAATGTGAGAGCTAAAACTATAAAAATCTTGGAAGAAAAAAGAGGTAAATATCTGTGACCTAGATTTCGCAATGGATTCTTAGATATGACACCGAAAACATAAGCAACAAAAGAAAAAATAGATAAAATTTGGACTTAACCAAAATTTAAAACTTTTGTGCTTCATAGAACACTATCAAAAGTTAAAAGACAACCTACAGAATGGTAGGAAAATGTTTGCAAATTATAAATCTGATAAGAATCTAGTATCCAGAATATATAAAGAATTCTTACATCTCAATAACAAAAAGACAACCAATTTAAAAATGAACAAAAGATCTAAATAGACATTTCTTCAGAGAAAATATACAAATGGCCAAAAACACATGAAATATGCTCAATATCATTACCCATCAGGGAAATACTATTAAAACCATAAAGAAATACCAGTTCACACTTACTAGGATGGCTATAATGAAAAAGATAATAGAGTTGGCCGAGTGGCACGTTGGTTAGGTGTTAGCTTGGGAAGCCAGCTCTGAGCAACAGGGCCCCGGTTTGGATCCCACATGAGGGCCAGTGATGCTACGCCCTCTACAGCTAAGATGGTGAACAACAGCTCCACCTGGAGCTGGGCTGCCATGAGTCGCCAGCAATGGTGTAGGCTGCAGTGGGGCTGCAGTGGGCTCCCACTGCCCTAAAGCTACGGTGAGTGGCTGGCAGCTGGCGTGAGCGGCTGGCAGCTGGCGTGAGCTGCCAAGAGCCACCGTGAATGGCCGTCCAATGGCCGTCGACCAATCTGCCTCACCCAGGAAGAGCGCAATGATAATACCAACATGGGCCAGTGAAGCGACGTCTTCCACAACTAGACTGAAGAACAAAAGGACAGCAACTTGTCTGTTCCCCTTCCCTGATTCCCCAATGCTGTTCCCCTCCCCCAATTACCCAATAAAATCTTAAAAACAAAAATAACAAACATTGGCAAAGATGTGAAAAAATCAGAACATTCGTACACTTCTATTCAGAACGTAAAATAGGGCAGCCTCTCTGGAAGTCCCTTAAAAAATTAAACATAATGTCACCATTTGACCCAGCATTTGTACTGTTTGTACTCAGGAGAAATAAAAACCTATGTTCACAGAAACCTATATATGAATGTTCACAGCAGCATTATTCATAATAACCAAAAGGTGAACAAAACTCAAATGTCCATCAAGTGATAAATAGATCAACAAAATGTCATAAATCCTTACAAGAGAATATTATTCAGCTTATTATAAAAAAGAATGAAGTACTAAACATGTGAAAACATGAATGAACCCTGAAAACATTATACTTAGAAAAAGAAGCCAGTCACAAAAGCCATATATGATATGCTTCCATTTATATGAAATGTCTAGAACATGTAAATCCACAAAGACAGAAAGTAGATTCGTGGTTGCCAGGCACTTGGCAGAGAAAATGTGGGTAGTGACTGCTTAAAGAGAAGAGAGTTTACCGTTGGGGTGATGAAAATACTCGACATAAAGAGTGGTGATGGCTGTATAATATATTGTTAATGTACTAAATATCGCTGAATTGTACGCTTTAATAATGGTAAAAATGGTGACCTGTTATGTAAATTTTACCACAGTACAAAAAGAGATAATAGCAGATAACAATAACAACACAGATTAACAACATTTCTGCCAAAATAGTAGAAATCCATATGTGCTATTTGATTTACAAACCAGGTAAGGTGGCTATGAATCAAAACATTAGAGTACTAAAAGTTTAAGGAAGAGCATTATTATTCATGCAAATGAAAATTACTTGAAAAAAAGAAAAATAAAGGAAATTATTTTTTATACATAAAAATAATGGTAAAGGAAGAAAAGTGAAATTTTCTATCAGAGAGAGTGAGTTCCCTCCTGACAAGAAAGCATATGTTTCTCCTCACCTCTTCCTGGGCTGATGGCTGTGAGGAGAGGTTTATGGTCACTCATTTTCTCCTGCCTCTGCTTTTGAGAAGCCATTTCCAGTTCCTTTTTTGCTAGTAGCTTGCCAGATGGGTAGAACAGACCAGTGGTCTGTGTACCTATATCCTTCTTAGCCCTAACATCAGGTTTGGGCAAAGGAACATTTAGGGACTGCCAGGCAGATCGGGGCTATGAGTGAGGCAGAAACAAAATATTAGAATATAATTTAATTAATCCTTCATATTATCACAAAAAACAACTGTAATCAGAAGTAAAGTATCTCCAAAACCTGTACTTTGAATTAAAAGGTGTTTTCAACCCTTGCCTCATGTTCTTTGCTTCTGTCTTTTCCTTAGCAACTCCCAGCCCCATCCCTTTGACCATTGACTGTCTCAACTCAGCAAATCAACTAATGTTCTTGTCCTGTCTAAAGCCTGGAAGATATCTATCCTCTCAGCTCTACAATCCAATAAAACATAGACTATACTACCCATCCATACCCAACTATGAGCACCAACATTTCCTGTGAAATACTCTCCTGCATCTGGACCTGAGGACCTAAGAGGACCACCACATAAGATTGTGTAAGTTGTGCACTGCACTACAGCATTGCATCTAAAGGGGTACCATTCACATAGCAGACAAATTATGTATGCATATTTATTAGGACAATTTTTCTAGTAAATGGGAGAAAATGTCTTTCTAGCAAAATTCGTATATTATAATCAATTTCCAACAGATGGCATTCAAGTGTCTTGAGGAAAGAACACATTTGCACAAAGGTGCCATGCAGATAATTGGCAGTCCCAGGATCTATAACTCAGTCTGGGTTAAGAAGGTTATGAGCTTCCTAAAAATGAATGCAAAATTACTGAGTACATGTGCATGTTCATTCTAATAATTATCAATCTTCAGATTCTTCTAATGAAAAGATAAGAAGAAACCTGAAAAGTCTTTATGTGGCTTAGAGAAATTCACAAAAGGCAACACAAAGTGGGTGAGTAATTAAGTCCTTCTGAAAATAATCTTGTGAGATTTTCCTCAAAGTATGTCCAGTTGTTATAAATAGCAAAAGCAATTTTATATACCTGATGTAAGTTTTCTAAAATATGAAAGAGCTGAAGGGAAAGTTCTTGGTGTTCTACATAAAGAATTCCAGAGAAGATAAGTACTTTTCACTTCTCCCTAGTAACATTGTATCTATTGTCTTGCAAATGCAACTTAGACCTCAATCTATTATAAATGCATAGATATTTGATTTCTGAAGCAGTCACTCAAGAGTTTAAAACCTAAATTAATTTATTTACACACATAGTTGAGAAGTCCATGTGAAAGGTCTAAATGTTTTGGCTGTCTTTCCCTGTGTTGATTCATAGGGTATTGCACACAAACACAGCTACCACCTCTTCCCAGGTGCCAATTCTTACTACAGTGGAGGCCTCACCTCAGCAAAAGAGCCAGGTTCTCCAGTAGCTAGGGTCAGCCTGCTGTCCACACTAAGTTTTGCCAAGGACTTCATATAAATACCACAGGAGCCACAGAATCGGGCAGATGGGTGATTGCTGGCCCCACATTTAGGGCAAATAGAGTAGCAAGCAGGAATGCCAGGCTAGAGGACAAAAAAAGATTTTATATTTTCATGAATAGTAGAGTCAGAATTTTCCCACATGAATTATTCCCACACCCTACAATCTCCAGCTATCAAAATAACACATGCCCGTACCTTTTGACCCTGCAATTCTACCTTCTAGAATTTATTCTACGGGTGGACAAGTACACAAAGAAGTATATTCAAGATCATTCTCTGCAGGATTGTGGTTTTAGAGGGAATAACTGGAAACAACCTAAATGTTCAGCAATTGGGGATGACATAAATACATCACGATACATACCAACAGTGGATTATGAAGCCATTGAAAAGAACAAGGAGGTGACTAACAAGATACATTGCTAGGTGAAAAGAACTGGATCGGTGTTCATATTAAACCATCAGTTTACTAATCAATGCATTGAATGTCTAAAAGAACATCTCAGAAACTAGTGATAGAGATTACTTCTGGGGAGAGGAGCTGTGGGACTGGGATAAGAAAGACACTAAACTTTTTGTATTACTTACATGAAACACTTATTTAAATAAATCATTTTTAATGTTTTATTAAAAAGGTAGGCAGACAATTCATAAAAGAACTATCAATAGTCAACAATCAGTGAAAAAGTTTAACCTCAAAGAAATGCAAATCAAGATAGCAATGAGACCATTCTCAATTTAAGAGATTTAATTAACTCTGTCTCCAGACTCTTAGAAATAGGTGCTAGTACCCAAATCCCAAACTGATTTCTGCAAGGCAGTGGAACAGGAGGAGCCTGGCTCTCTCTAGGTGGCGGTGAAGTGCTCAGCACAAAGAAGCTCAGTTTTTAAACACCCATCGTGGCTCCACACCAGTCGCAGAAGCAAGCACCCCGGCGATTCCAGCAACCACATTTGGAGCAGGAAACCATCTCCTCTTTCTGAGTTGGCACAGGAGGAGCTTTATCTCCACTGCACATGGACTGGTAAATACAACGGCATTTACAGGCAGATCAATACCATATTCTCCAATTTCTCTCCCAATCCAGAAAAGAAAAAGGCCCCAAATCAATGCAAGCCCTGGAAATAAGGTATTTCTGCCCCAAAGAGGAAAATTATCATGAGCTTCACCAATTAATAAACTAGCTCAAGGAACATGCATTCCTTCACAGAAAGTCGATGAAACTGGTGCCTCACACACATCTTGATATTCCTCAGTATTTTTAATACCAAAGGTAGCAGGCCTACTGTTGATTTACTATACTAATATTAATAAAGAATATAGGAGAGCTGAGCTACCTATGGTGTGACAATTGAGGTTTATCTTCTGTCCTTTGGGGTTTGGGTTTCCATAAAGAAATGTGAATTTATTTTCCACTCCCAACACATGAAAATAATTATTTTATTTTGGGGAGGAGATAGAATTGTTTTGTGAGAATTTCTGACACTTTGTTAAGTAGACCTGGATTAGAATCTTTGTTCCTACTACTTACTATTGTCTAATAAGAGATTTTATCATCAGACAAATGGGGATGATAGAATTCATCAATTCTATGTGATCATCTACCATGTGCAGGCACCGTTCTGAGCACTGCCCCTGTACCCTCGCATCAAATCCCGTGACAGACCTATGAAGTGAGTGTAAATAATCTAGGTTTTACAGAGAGGGAAACTGAGGCACAAAGAGGGTAAGACACAAAATTTGAATGCAGGCCACAACTTTTATCCATGATTTCACCCATCCTCTTCAATACAACTGTTTCCTCACAGGTCTACAGGGGGATTTGAGATGGTTAATGGCAATTAAGTATGTAGAAAAGGGTCAGCTTCCTTCCCTTCTCATCTTGCTTTCCACTAGATCCTGATTTCTTTAAGGAAAACGACCATCTTTTCACATTTTTTCCTCACTAGTACAGTATCTGGTATCTTGGCATATGGAAATCAAGTAGTTACTGAATGAATGAATGAATGAATGATTCAACTGATAACTGAATATATGTATTGTCATATATTATATGTCATACATGCACAATACTAACAATAAGCACGCTAGGAAAAATGTTTTCTAAGGACAATTTGCCCTCAAAGACCGATGTTATTTTAGAACAGACATCTCTCCAGAAAGAGGCCACATCAGCCCCAAACATCCACAGAGACCAAGAAAGATCTGTCTTTGCATATACTTATCCTCGCCCCATTTCTCTGCAACTAGGGGAAACTCCTAAAAAAATAAACCCCTTACACATTGTGCATCACACTTAAAATTCAATTTATCCTACTGTTAAAATAGAGTTTTGAAAAAACTTGCTGACCTGGGTTTCTAAATATAAAGCCTTCAGACCTTTCGTTTATATGCATGTACTGTTCATGTGGATTTTTTTTTATATAACATTGCTTTAAAGAAAGAAAAGTAATCTTACCCCATTCATATTAATGCTGCTACACAAAGGAAAGACATAAAGCTATCAGAAGGAACATGCATTATTACTTCAATGATAAATATTCTCATTGTGACATCTAAACTCTCATATACCATTCAGACAAAAATACAATTTTGAAAACAAATTCAACTTTGTAATTGTTCCTGAAACAGTTTTGTTGATAGGTGAGATCCAGAAACAACTGCATCACTGCCAATTAATAAAATCAATTTAAATTATTTTACTATTTATACAAGAAGTCCAAAGTGTCTCAGAAAATAAATCTTCTGCTTGGCAATTTACATAAATCTACCAGCAAGATCACTCCAAGAATTCCCAAGTACCATGTTTTCTTTTTTTAAGTTTTCCTAATCTCACTATTTTTTCTCCCTAGTGCCCACTGCAATTTCATGATGGGAGAGTGACATAAAGTCCGCAGCTATGTTAAGTCACAGAGATAGTCAAATAACAATCAACAAAAGACTACCCTAAAATTGCAACAGATTTGATTTGGGAATAGATGGGTTTTCTCATTAAATTTGCCAGCTCATTAGCACAGTTTTAGTCTCAGTTCTGAAAAAGAAACACATATTATGTAACAGAAATCATCTTTTTAAAAAACTATACAGATTTTCCTTCTGGTCATGGTGGAGTAAGACCATACCAAATGACCCCCACACAGAAAACAACTATAAAATCTACTCATAATACATATAGGAACAGAAGCAGATAGACACTTATAGCAAGTACATGCAAGAGGAAGGGTGTCATACAAAGTTAGTTCCCTTTTAGCCCGGGGCTAAGGGCAGCCCACATAGTGAATGTGAAGTGGTGGGAATGGGGCAGTATTTCTGGCTAGGAGTTTGGCCACTGAAGAGGTAGGGAGTTCCCAGAAAGAAAAAAGATGGAGAGGAGATACCTCAATTCTGTGTACTCACATATCTTACTGACCCATGAATAACTGATACACAGAATAGTCAAAGCAGCTCAGCCAAAGATGAAATATCTGAATCAAGACCAGACTTTTTGCTCCGGTCTCTACCCCCACCAACCCCTCCACCCCCAAAAAAAACTCCACTTTTCTTGGTTTTTTAGTATCTTGAGGAATTTTAGATTGTATCCTGGCATTATAAATGTTAAGTTGTGGTTTTTCTGGATTCTGTTAATATTCTCTGATAAGTGCTGGGTTTCTGCTGCTGTAGTTGTTTTGATTTAGCAGGCAATAAAATACCTGGCTAGTTTAAGGAATGTACTGCCTAGAATGAACTAGAACTAAATGCCTCTGATTTCTGATCAGAAACCATGGAGACAGTAAAACATCCTTAAAGCTCTGAAAGACAGTCAACCTAGAGTTATATATCCATCGAAAATACCCTTTGAGAATAAGGGTAAAAAAAATACATTTTGGGATAAAAGAAAACGTAGACAATTCATTGCCAGTAGATCTGCACTATAAGAAATGATAGAGCTCTGTTTGAAGGAAATGACACTGGAGGGGAACTTGGATCCTCAGATAAGGGTAAAGAACATCAGAAATGATAAATACCTGTGTAAATACAAAAAAAAACCCCTAGTTTTTATCTTCTCTGCTTTTTCTTCCTAACTCTTTATAAACCATATAATTGTTTTTTAAACAATTTTCATATTTCAATTACAGTTGACATACACTATTGTATTAGTTTCAAGTATGCAGTTACTATAAGAATGTCAGCTGATTTCTAACAGAACTTTGCAGACCAGAAGAGATTGGCATGAAATATTCAAAGTGATGAAAAGCAAGGACCTATGATCAAGATTACTCTACCCAGCAAACCTATCATTTAGAATGTGGCCCATTTGGTGATGGAAGGAGAACTGACTCTGGGTGGTGAGCACACAATGTTATATATAGATGATGTATTGTAGAATTGTACACTTGAAACCTATGTAATTTTACTAACCATTGTCACCCCAATAAATTTAATTTTAAAAAAAAGAACAAGGTCCCTTAAACTATCCTTATTGTTTTTTCTTTTTGCTGCTCTGATTGGGTGTTTTCTGCTACCTTATCTTCTAAATTGCTGATTTGATCCTCTGCTTCATCTAATCTACTGTTGATTCCATCTAATATAGTCTTTATTTCATTTATTGTACTCTTCATTTCTGACTAGTTCTTTTTTTTTTCTTTTTTAGCTGAGCCATCCTGCCACCTGTTGGCAGCTCAGCTTGGGCTGGGCATCAAACCGCTGTTGCTCAGAGCTCGCACTCTTGAGGGAGCTCTTAACCAACTGAGCCACTCGGCCGGCCCCTGACTGGTTCTTTTTTATGTTTTCTATCTCTATTTTTGTTTCCTATCTCTTTGTTGAAGGTCTCATTGATATCACTGAGCATCCTTATAACCAGTGTTGTGAACTCTACATCTGGTAGATTGCTTGTCTCCACTCTTTTTATTTCTTTTTCTGGAACTTTGTTCTGTTCTTTCATTTGGGGCGTGTTTATTTGTCTCCCCATTTGGGCTGTCTCCTTGTTTTTGTTTCTACGTATTAGATAGAGCTGCTATGTCTCCTGGTCTTAGTAGAGTAGCCTTATGTAGTAGGTGTCCTGTGGAGCCCAGTGGCACAGTCTCCTTGGTCACCTGAACCAGGTATTCCCAGTGTACCCCTTGTGTGGGTTGTGTGTGCCCTCCTGTTGTAGTTGAGCCTTGGTTGCTGTTTGCGCCTCAATGGGAGGAATTGACCCACAGACTGATCGGTTGTGAGGACTGGCTGTGACAACCGTGGAGGAGCTGTTGTGCAGGGGCTGAACCTATACAGCAGGATTCACTTTAGTAGGGCTCTGTTGCCTTCCCAGTCTTCCCTTTGGGTTTGTCCTTTGTGGAGGTGGTTGGGTGGTGCTCTGGTGTGATCTGAAGCTTTCTGCCGAGTGTGTTCATTCTGGAATTTCTTGGGATGGGCTCTGTTTGCAGTCCAAAGTCAGGCACTGCCTGTGCCCTGCCTGGGGCTACTTGGTATGAGATACTAAATGATCTGCATATGGTTGTCACTTGTGCTGGGCTTAGAGATGCCTGGGAGAGGCTAAGCTGGGAACTGATGCAAGCTGCTACTAGTGCTGGACTCAGGGCTGCTTAGCAAGAGATATGGGGCATGCCAAGGCCAGATACTATTTGTCTGGGGTTTGTGAATCTTTGAGAGATTATAGTAAAGTGCACAGCATGAGCCAAGACAGGCCGCTTATATGGAAAAGCCACTGGAAACCGCTTGGGTGAGCCTGCAAGTTGGGTTGGGCAGGGTCTCAGGGAATCACCAAGGCAGGACAAATGGTGTTAGCTAGGTTGATGGAGGCTCAGATGTGGCAGCCACCTGCCTCTGCCTGCTGGGCTGGGGGAGTGATCAACAAAGGAACAATGGCTTCTGCCAGCACTTTTCTCTGGGAGGAAGTTGCCCCTCCAGACTTCATGCTGAAGCCAGACAATTCAGTTCCTCCCCATATGTCTCTGGTACCTTTTGAGCTGCTGCCCCAGCGATGGAGCTCAGAGTGAATGAGTTCGTCAGTGAGTCAGTTCATGTGCAGGCCCTTGAAGAGAA